CCTGTATCATGCGCTATGTGCTGCGGTACTGATTACAGGCCGTTATTTCCATACTGACCCTGTGGGGAGGAATTCCAGGATGGGCCCGGGATTCTTTCTCCTTTCTCTAGATCGTTTTTAAAAGATTCCAGTTTGCCATATGAAATCCCTTATATAGAGGTAGCAAGGAGAGCAATGGGGTGTACATGGGGGGGGGGGGAACACCTTGCTTCTGTAGAAGATTACCATGCAATATTTGGATGCAGGTGTTCCTCTACCCTCTTCACCCTCTAGAGAGGGGGTTCTGAGGCAGGCTGTGAGGGGAGCGGCCTGCCTTCCTCTCCGCGCTCACTAACCTCAAGCCAACTCCTGCATCCAACCGAGAATTGCACCTCTTCGTCAGTTAGTTCCTGCTTCTCCTCTTCCTGCCTGAGAATTCCCACCGGTCCATCCTTCCATCTCTCCAGCTGCCTGCTGCTGTCGTCAAGGTGCCCGCCCGATCTCTTCCTGTACTGCGTCCAAACCGGGCATCCCTGCTTCCAGTCCTGCAGTGGCCCCAACACACCTACTCCCTGCCCCTCATAAGCGGTACGCGTCCCTGGCCTCCCTCTGCCCTGCTCACCAGGCATCTGCAAGCAGGGACTAAGCGTTACAAATGCCTGCAGCTGCTGTCCCCAAAAATACCCTCTGATGACATGGCTGGGCTGATAAGCGGGGGCTGGGGCTTGGCTAAGTATAGAGCCCAGCGGGGAGGAGTACAAAGGCATCCCTCGACTGCCCAAGGCATAGCCCACCTCGGAGGAGGGAGAAGCAAAGGGTCCCCGTGGCCTCAGAGCAGGTTGGAGCATCCCAAATGGTCCCACCAGTTCGGTGGTTTAAGTCCATCAGGAGCTAGGCAGCCAGCTGATCGTCAGATCGTATCGTATCACTACAAACTGGAATTGGCCTAGGGGGTGAGGGTTGTGTACTGCAAAAGATATGGCAACATCATCCAGGAAAGGAATGAAAAGCACAAGAAAGCTGCATATTCTCTCATCACCCCACTTAATGAGTCCTGCGCTATTAGGGTGGGGTTCGTTTTTTGCAGTAAACGGCATTTTAAAAAATTTTGCTTTTCTTGCCACTAATATTTTCAGCCAAAAAAATTCTGGCAGCATTAAAAACATTCAGTACCATTTGCAGTTCTTCCCATCGACCATTTCACTCTGTTTCCCACATTTTCCCAGGGAGACATCGGCAACTGCCAGCCACCGCCCTATTCTCACGCAGCTGAAAGAGGCACGGAGGGGACGAGAGGGACAGGAACCGACTCTGCAGCGAGAAATTAGCAGGGGCACTTTACACATCCAGCAGAATCAAGCGCAAGAACCCACAGGCTGCAGCTGAGGACTTTCTTGTCTGAGCGCTCTCCCTATGGAAGAAGAATCCCCGGACATAGAAACATAGCTGTTTGGCACACTAGTTCCCTCCCTCCAGACACTCCCTTCTTTTCATTCAGGGAACTGAAAGAGAGTTCAGACATGCGATCCTCGCCTGTTGTTTGGTGTGGAACAGCCTGGGAAAGGCTTTACTCGTTACTCTGCTAAATATATAAACTAGCTACAAGAAGATTGTGAAGCACCAGGAACTGAGGCAAGAACTGAATCTTGTTACAGGTCACCCAGGACCTTTCTCAAATTCCTGGACAAAACAAGAGGAGAACGGGATGCAAGTCCGCACTGACCCATGTGGGCTGCTCGAACATGAGTACTCTTGGCCAGCACAGAGGCCAGGAAGTACTCTAGATGGGGCGTGCCTCTATCCCAGCCATTCTTGTCCCTCCGATGGGCAGAGTGGAAGTCTGTCATTTCAGAGTAAAACAAAACCAGCTGGGCCTACTCCCTAAGAATCCCAATCCACACTTGCTTCGGGAGGGGGGGGGGGATAGGGATCATCCACCCTACAGCCCCATTGGCTCCACCTACACAAACCATATGATGGATCTTGTTTGGATCACTGCATAGTTCAGGGCAGACTGAAATATAACCTCAGCTGACAGATGCTGAGCTGCCACACATTCTAAATTCTTTGTTACATGCTTGGAAAATTACACTCCTTGGAGTCTCCCTCGGTCCCTGGACAGAAAGCCAAAGCCTTTTGTTGAAAGGCAGGCAGCGCTACACACTGCCAAGCAGTAAAAAGATAAAATAACATTTAAAAGACTGTTTTTGTTTACTACTTTTGAATCCCAAACTGCATTTCACATGCTGTTGTTGGGGGGCGGGGGATATGAAACTTGTAATGTATCCAGTCCAGACCGCGTGGCCGGCTCAGGCTCCACGCGGTCAGAGACAAACGTCGAGCTTCGCTCCAAGAGACAATGGACTATGCGGATCCTAGCCCGCTCCAATCAGGGGGCTAGGTTCCCGGCCGAGAAGCCAATGGGACTCTCGGCCACTGTAAATAACCTATAGGGATGTAGGGGTGTGTTTTGGGTGGTGGTTTCTCGGGGGATATAAGCCGGCCTGCGAGCCAGCCAAAGTTCGAATAAAGTACGCTTTGCTGAAATCACTCTCCGTCTGCGTACTTTTCAAAACTCAACTTCCAGCTGAGGCCTGGAGAGCTCCCAGGATTACAACCGATCTCCGGGCCACAGAGATCAGTTCCCCTGGAGAAGACGGCTGCTTTGGAGGGCGGAGTCTCTGGCATTGTACCCTGCTGAGGCCCCTCCCCAAGCCCCACCCTCTCCCGGCTCCACCCCCAAAATCTGCAGGAATTTCCCAACCAATTATACACGAGCGTATCATTGCATGTATATCCCAGCACACATCCCATGTAGAACATGCGTAATGGTTATGAGTGTAAGTTATGAGCTGGGAAGTCCCCGTCTCAATCATATACCCACTAGGTAGCCTTGGGCAGGTTTAGTAAGCCAGTTTGTTTTTATCCTGCTCTTCTTCCAAGACGTTCAAGGCAGTATACATGGCTTGGTATATCAGAATAAGGAGGAATCGTGGTTTCTGACAGGAGCACATTTTAATAAATCCAGTGTTCTTCCTGCGTCTGAAAGAGCAGCTGGCACTGTGAACGTCATGAGTGGAGATTTGAACCGAGGTCTCCCGGATTCTAGTCCAGCTATTGGACACTGACACCCTAACCACTCCACTCCACTCTACTGGCAGGCTGTTATTCTCTTAGCCAGAGCCCCACTACTAGGAGGAGGAGGATATTGGCCTACCTATTACAAGGCATATTGAGATGATTATGTGAAGCACTTTGGGCACCTGCTGATCATCACAAATGACAATCTATGCATGAGTGTAAGAAAAATGCAAAGTGTGCAGCAGCTCTGAGTGTCTGGGTGTGTGCATGGTGGAAACATAAACTGGTTTCGCTGTTCCTTTAGGGGATTCTGGGATTTGTAGTTCTGTATCTGTGATGAAGCTATGCATTTCAGAAACAGAAGTCTCAGCATTCTAATGAGATTGTAGCCTTTGCAGTATGTTTGACAATCTAGGTGTGAAGCGCAGAGATTTGCTGTGCTGCATCTTTGATGGGTTTTCTGCTTATCCCTAAATGAAGTCAAGCAAATTAGGAGGACAAGTCCTAGTACTGAGTCAAGTATGCCAAAGATGAAGAGAAGGCACCTGCCTGAGTGGTTAAAATGGTGACCAACCGTTTCTGAACAGACATGAATTAAGCCATCCTAAGGCATCCAAGGAGCTGCGGTGGCTCAAAGTGGTTAAGACGCTGAACTGCAGGCTGTGGAAGGTCAGTAGTTCAGCAGTTCGAGACCCAAGTGCGCTGCATGACGGAGTGAGCTCCCATCTCTAGTTCCAGCTCCTGCCAACCTAGCAGTTTGAAAACAAGAAATTGCAAGTAGATAAATAGGTACCGCTTTGGTGGGAAGGTAACAGCGTTCTGTGAGCCTTGGTGTTTAGTCATGCCGGCCACATGACCACGGAAACGTCTTCGGACAGCGCTGGCTCTTCGGCTTTGAAACGGAGATGAGCACCGCAACCCTAGAGTCGGATTCGACTGGCTTTCGAGCAAGGGAACCTTCACCTTTACCTTTAAGGCATGTGTGCAATCAGCCACTAAATTAAGAAAGAGGCTAGCTCTTCTGTACTTAAGGAAATAGAGCTTGCAGTTCTAGACCCTACTAGCCAGTATGAAGAGGGTACAGCAGGCATTTATGCCAGACGGGAGGCAACGGGGCCCACACCCAAGAGTTACACCAGGATGTGACGATCGAAGCGGTGGTCAGCTCTGGCTTGGGCAATCCCTGGAGATTTGGGCACAGTCAGCCCTGACCTGGACTGCATCAGGCCTCAGAAGCTGAGCAGGGCCGACTCTGGCCAGTGCTAGGAAGGGAGACCTCCAAGGAAGACCGGGTACACAGAGGTAGGCTACAATAAGCCATTTCCCTAAAATGTACGAGCCCCACGAGGGGGTGATCAGAAGTCGACCATGACTTCCAGGCACGCACACACAAAACAGCCACGCAGAAAAGAGAGATTTGGGCGCAGTGCTTGAAGGAAGGCAAAGTCTGAGGAGAGGAAGGGTGTAGGGTTGCCAGATCCAGGCTGGAAGATTCCTAGAGATTTGGGGTGGGGCCTGCAGAGGGTGGGGCTTAGGGAGGGGAAAGGACCCCAGTGAGGCATGGTTTCATAGAGTTCATCCTCCAAAGCGGCCATTTTTTCTAGGGAAACGGATCTCTCTAGTCTGGAAATCATATGTAGTTCCTGGATATCTCCAGGCCCTACCTGCAGGTTGGCAACCTCAGAGGGACCTCAGTTGGGATGTGATGCCTGAGAGCCCACTCAGTGAAGCCGCCTGTTCTGTATGGAACAGAAACTATGAATGTCTTGAGCTTGAGTCTAAGCAAGGTATTGTAAACCGACCTATCAGAACAAGGGAAGTTCTGGAGGGAAGCAAACTGATTGGTCTTTATGTACTGAATATGATTGGATGTTATCTGACTTGTGGGCGTGGCTTGCCAAGCCCGGACTGTTTAAAAAGGAGCCTGTTGCTCCGTTGTTTGTCTCGCTCTGGTTCATTTGTATGGAGAAGGTCACACATTCAGTCCTGTCTCTAGCTAACATATGTCAGGTCGAAGGTGCTTGGGAAAGATTTTTTTTTCTGTCTGAGAATCTGGAAAGCTACTGTCAGTTAAAACAGACAGCGATGAGCCAGCTGGACCAATGATCTGCTTCTGTACAGGCAGCTTCATACCCCGGAGACCCAGATCTCTCTTCCCCCACAGCGGTTAGACTTAGGGGGAAGACTCCCATCAACCTGAAACAAAGTCTGCTGGGGTCCTCCCAAACCATTGTTTGAGTCCTTATCTTTAGGGCCCATCTGGCCCTGATCCAGGACCAAGGAGCCGTGAATAGGGGTCGGAGCAACTTGGATGTAAATAGTAGTCTCTCTTTAACTCCATTTAATAATCCCAATGTATTTACAACTGATTAAAATTATTTGAATATTATGTTCATCATCAGCAAAAGAAAAGGACGGACCTTTCCTACACTACCAATACCCTTTCAAAAGTAGGGAGATACAAATCCAGTCAAAAAGCTCCAGAGTGGCACCTGTATTTGTTGCAGCAAAAGGCTTTGTGGCACCAACAGTTCTCAGCAGGCCTGGAGAAAAATGTCCTGTCCCGTTTAATAGAGGTTTAATGAGTGGAAATGGGGAACTGAAGCTTTTCATGGAATGGAACTAAATTAACAGCACCTGATAATTGCTTGCAGCTCAAACTGATATTAAAAGGACAGCTAGAGGGACCAATTTAAAAGCTGACAATTCTACTCATTGGGACCAGAGCTCATTGCATCAGATGAAGTGGGTAATAGTCCATGAAAGTTTAGGTCATAATAAATATGTTAATCTTTAAAGTACCACAAGAGTTTTGCAGTCTTAATCCACACATGTGATAATGATTACAAAACCAGAGGGTGATAATTTATGGAATACAAAGGCATGCTCTCCTGCATGCATGCCACTGCATGTGTGTGCCGCTGGCAGTGTGTTACCCAGCAGAGCCTTTCCCTGTACAGATTTCTGAGCATGAAACAGCAAGAGGCCCTTTAGTCCCTTTAAGGACCCTAGACTGACAGTCTGAGGATGTGCCTGCTTGGGGTGAGTGAGGCTTCTCGGACTTCAGATCATAGCAGCTGTGGGATGATTTCAAGGGAGTGTTTGGGGAGGGGGCAAAGCCAGAAAGCACTGTGCCCCCTGATCCAGCACTGCCTCCTCAGGCCTTGGCGGCTTCCCTCTCTCCCTCAGGGCATCCTGCCCAGGGGCCCTGTCCCCTAGGCAGCACCGTCCTTGCATTCCAGACGTCTCTTCTGTTTTGCTGCCCAGGAGATAATATTCATGGCTGGCAGACATTTGCGTCAGTGTCAGATACGTCTCAATGCCATCATGCCCCCAGCCTGGCTCAGCAAGGAAGCCGGGAAGCTGAAGGAGCTGGGTGGGTCAGGCTCAAGGGAGAAGGGGCCAGATCACTTCCCACTGGAGGGCAGGATCTCTGCACGCACCTGAGCCGGCTCTGTTGTCACACTGCAACACCGCCTGCCCAAGCCCTGGGCACATGTGCACCAAGAAGGCCGGCAAGAATTCTCCACCCTCAGCCAGCACATCATTCTTTGCCCATGCTGGATCAGAGCGTTTGGCACTTCCTGCCCCTCGCCAGCTCCATGCTGGCCCTGCTGCTGGCCCTGCTGTCTCCTGCTGCTGTGGCCGGCTGCAGCGAGGGTGAGGTGAACCGGCAGCTCATCCTGGCCAAAGTCAAGGCCCACTTCCTGGAGTTCCTTGGCCCCGCACCCCAAGCCAACAGGGTCCAGAGGGGCCAGAGGGGGCTCCACCGGCGACATGCTTCCACTGCCCACAGCTGGGAGGAAAAGGATACATCCCAAGTGATCATCTTCCCCTCCACAGGTAAGAGGACACC